AGTGAGAGAGAGAGAGAGAGAGAGAGAGAGAGAGAGAGATTGAGAGAGATACAGAGAGAGAGGGGGAGAAAAGGAGAATGGACAGCAGGAGAAACAGGAGTGGGAAATACACGACCTCATCAAATCCCCACTGGCGCCAGTGACATGACCTCTGGGTGGCACACGTGGGTCAGCTGTGGTAGAGCCCTGTCACAAAGACCCGGCCAGAGAAATAGAATTGGTTAAAATGTCGACTGTAATCGGCAGTCTAGAAGTCGGAGTTAGAGGTGGGTAAAATCCAGATAATCTATCCGGATAACCGAATTCCCTTTCCTGACCCGTTTGTGAAGTGGGTGCACCCATATTTTGTTATAGTGATGCTAAACCGTTAGTCGAAGTGATTCTAACACATTTGCCGAAGCGGTTCATATAATCATTTGCCGAAGAGGTGCACTAACACATTATCCGAATTTCGCTAAAGCGACTCATTGCCCGACTCTAGTCGAAGAGGAACGGTCTGGAACACGAGGGGGCAATGACCTCTGTTCTTTGTTTTGTTATTGAAGTTTTTGTGTCTTTAGGTTTTTTAGGAAAGGGGGTAGATCTACCTTGACACAATAGCTGTCATTGAGCGCAAGAGAAAAAAGTTTTAGTTTTAGTAGAAGTTTTACGGCATTTTCAACACAATGAGGTCATAAAGTGCCGAAGATCAGAGGTGTTACAAGTGAGTAACAAACACAAAAAAGGGAGGAGGAGAGAGAAGGACGATAGTTTTTAATAGAAAAGAAGAAGCAAACCACACCAGAGCACCCGCCAACCACCCACAGAGAAGAAAAGTTTTAGTAGAGGTTTTACGGCGCTCGCAACTGCATAAGGTCATATGAGCGCCAGAAGATTAGAGATGTTACAAGAGAGTAACAAACAAAAAAGAAGAAGGAGAGATGGACGATAGATGTTTGATAGGAAAGAAGAAAAAAACCACACCAGAGAGCACCCGCCAACACCCACTGAGAAAAAAGGAAGATAAACAGATAACGACAAGTGGTGGAAGAATTGGGACCTACTAGTGGCACCTGCTGAACACCCAAGTCTAACAAATAACAACTACACACAAGTAACGAAAGTGCGAGTCAGTCCTCAGTCTCAACACTACCTTCAACATCACAAACACTGGGTGGCGTGGAGAAGAACTATCAGGCTTGAATCTTGACCGTAAGCGTACTAATTTCTCTTTCTGACTAGCTGCTGTTTAACGTTTAACGCACAGCTTGGCACACCATGGCTCGAAAAAAAAAAGGTGAAATGGTATAGGTTTAACGCCCCTATCAACACAATTAGGTTATTTAAGGGGCGAGACCTCCTAGTTTAACGCCCGTATCCGATAGGACCGAGCCAAGTGGGAAGTTCGTGTAAAATGCCTTTCCCAAGGACACAACGTCGGACTGAGCACACCATGGCTTGTTTCCTGGATGTAATTGTAATAATTGCAGACGCTTCACGCCCCCATTAGTTTATACCACTTGGGAGATGGGCTACTTCGACCCTGCCTGTCAGAGCCATCGCAAGGTGAAAGGGACACACAATTCCAGCCTAATTAAACTTTAGTTATAGTAAGAGGAACACAAATGGGTCATGTTGATGCAAAAGACTAGAAGTGTTTCTGGAGAGCAACATACAAAGACAAGATGCAAGAGAGATACAGACAAAAGGCCTAGACATTTGATAGAAAAGGAGGAGCAAACCATACCAGAGCACCCGCCAACCACCCACATGCCCCAGCACAGACAGAGATACTCAAT